AGGCTTTGGCAAAAATGCCATTGTCCCCTCACATCACAGGTGAAACTCCAACACTGGCTGTTCAATATTTTCTCCTAATGAGCCTGCCCAGTCTTCTTGCCTTTTTGGGACGGAAACAAGCTCTCCGCCGGTGTCCTCTTCATGTCTATCAGCTTCGTCTACCGGCAGAGCGGCAGAGCAAACGGGGGATGTATACATGAATATCATCAAATCCACAGAGGGCTGGTGAGCCCCAGTTCTTAATCCTGGCTCCATCACTAGCAATTTGCAACCCAAAGAAGTCACTCTCTCTGTTTTCTCTCTAAAGTAAATAAAGCATAATGCATTAAAAAAAAAAATCAATTGGTGTTCTCAGGAAGAGGAGGAGCCAGACAACTCTAAGTTGGGCCGAAAATGCAACATTTTCCAAGTTTTTGCTAATGCCGGAGATGGACACAGCCTTGTCTCCACATCCCCTGTTGGCTCCCGGCTGTGACGTCTCTCACCTGGTCTCCTGGCCTTCCTCTCCCACTCCACCCTCCAATTCCTCCCAGGCTGATCTTTCTAAAGCAGAAGTCAAGGTGAGTCACTTCTGTTAAAACCCTTTAATGGCTCCCCACTCCCTTCTGGCAACAGTCCAGCTCCTCTGCTCTGTGCACAAAAAGCTCCACGCTCCTGCTCCATCCATCTCTCCAGCCTTTTACCTGCTGGGCACCCCTGGCTCCTCACCCGACACTGCACGCGCAGTTCCCCCAGATCACTCCCTGCTTCCTGCCTCAGGGCCTTTGCACATGTGGTTCCCTTTGTCTGGAATGCCTTTCCCTGCTGGCTAGCATCAGATGTTTCCCTGCCAGGCCCCTGGAAACCCTCCCTGCCCACCAGACTTGGGCTCCTCAAGGGCACAGCCTCAATCATCCCCAATATGCAGCCGGGGTCCCTGCACGGAGATGGACGCAGAAATGGGGCACGTAGGTGCAAAACCAAAGGCTTCTCTCTCCATCTCCAGGATGGGCAAAACTCCAGCAGATTTGGGTTAGTATAATTCTCAGTTCCCATCCTGGGCTCAGCTGGATCTGCACTCACTGCTGCCCCAGTTTGAGACAGGAAATTTTTAGTCTTCAATATTCCATTTTTAAAAACACAATATTTTAGCACCAAAATGAATGTATTTTATCATAGACACTGCGGCAGGCTGCCTCCTGGCCCCGAGTCTCCTCGCAGAAGATGGTCCAACCAACGCAGCTTCCCCAGCCACGGAAGACGACACGGCTGGCTCTCACGGAGGAATCAGTGTCATGGTGAACCACGGGTCCAGGGACACCCCAGCGCTGCCTCCCACACCATCCACATCTGAATGGGGAACCCTTCCATGGTGGGACCCCCAACAAAGGACTCGGCAGGGAAAGTGCCCGAGTGTCACAGAGGCACCGTGTCTGAACTGGGAACCCCTTTACTGAACATCCACCCCACCCCAAAACGGGACCGCCCACTGTCTTCCAACCCTCCCACTCACCTGGGCTTCCCTGCCCTCCCGGGGGGTGAAGTGAGCAATGTTGGCAGTCAGGACCCCCCTGCTAGGGTGTTTTTTGGGTTCCCCTGGGGTGCAGAAGTTGGGCGCTGGCTCGTCTTTCTGCTCTGTGGATTGTAAGTGGCTCCGGGGCAGGGCCTGAGACCCACTCAACTCGGTACCCCCAAGGGTCCATGCATAGCCCGAGCTCATCTTCTGAGTTCCAGTGCTGGGTGCCAGGAAAAGAAAGCGGACGACGAGCCACCGTCGTCCCGTTCCACATCTGAGGGGCCGAGGAACCAGCTGTGCCCAGAAGGTGCCAGTCGCTTTGCGCTCTCTCAAGTCTTGCTTAAATGCCCCCTTCTCAGGGGGTCTCCCCTGACCTCCCGGCTTCATATTGCCACCGCCCTCCCTGGCACACCCTCTGTTCTCTCACCAGTTGCCAGACGGTAACCTCCTGTTTAACTGAGCCTGTCTCTCCCCCAGAGTGAGGGCAGGGATTTTTGTTTTACTCACAAGTTCCCAGCTCCTAGAACGGGGACTGGCACCCAGTAGGTGCTCAGCAAATGTTGAGTGAACACGTGCAGACCAGGCACGCATTTCGTCAATGTGTGCTCTTCGAGAATGGGGTCTTCAGGCAAGCCAAGTAACTAATAAGCCCCTGCTAGGGTCCCAAAGTGGTGCCGGGCTCTATGAGGCTGTAAAAGCTCTCATGTCTGTCCTCCACTGGCTTCCTGTGCCTCTGCAATAAAACCCAAATTCCTTCCAGGGTGGCCGTCTCCCTCCCCTCCTCCTGCCTCCCCCAGCACATGCCAGACTACATCTTCACCCGCCCTAAGCTCCTCGACCCTGAGCTTAGGGTCACACCTCAGGGCCTTGGCACTCACTGTTCTTGCTGCCCGGGTGGCTCTTCCTGCAGATGGTCACGTGGCTGTCAGACCTCACCTCAAATGTCCCTTTTCCTTACAGTCCTTCCTGCCCACCCAACCCAGTCACCACCCAAACCACCACCCGTCACAGCTCCATTTTATTGTCTGCACAGCCCTTAGCACTGTCTGAAATCATCTCCATCATTTATTTACTCACAGAACCAGTTTACTGGGGAATCTGGACTCAGCGAGCTCCAGAGCTAAACCATCTTCTGTCTTCTAATTGCTTCATTCCGTCACGCTCTGCCGAGTGCCCCTGCCTGCTGGGCCTCCATGACAGGCAGGTCCCAGTACATTTCAGGCACTCTTAGTCATTAAACTCAGCCCAGGCCAGCTCAACACTCTGTCTTGGTTCAGAGCTCCTCTCCAGAAGGGGCGGGAGTGGGGAGCAAGAGCTCTCCCCTCTCTCTCTGGGGCGCCTTGGAGCAGAGGGGCCGGGGCTGGGCTGCTTCTGCTTCTGTTGCAGGCCTGCTCTTGGTCTGCTGCCTTCTGCTGTGATCTCTGTGGAGATGGGTGCCTGGTCCTCCTGGGGCTGGGCCTCGTCCGTGGCTGGCATCTCCTCGGGGCGGGGGGAAGCCACATCCCCCTTCAGCCCTGCCAGCAGAACGGGCCCCCTGACCTTTCCTGGAGGAAGCAGCTCCCCTGGCCCAGGACCTGTCTGGAGAGCCCAGTGACTCCTCTCTACATGCATCTCTCCATGAGCCCTCTGAGGGTCATGTGCAATTGCTGGGGGGGCACCTGCTCCCATGCTGGCCGTGCAGGCTTCTCCCCACCAAATCCCCCCAGAGGGAGCCAGGCCCAACTCCAGGGGATGCATGCCAAGCTCCCCCAAAGACGCTGCAGTTGGCACTAGGTTCCTGCAGCTCAGTGAGCATCCAGCTGGGGAGCGAGGGGCCAGCCTCCTCTTCTTGGCAGCGTCCTCCATCTCAGGAGGCTTTTCCTGGGGCCTCCTTTGCTTGGTTGTGGGGGCGGGGCAGGAGCAGCGGTGGTACCCACTTCCCAACGCTGTCTACCCTCACTCCTTCCTCTTGACCACTCAGCTTTCTCAGATAAGCAGGGAAGAGCAAAGAGTGTAGGGTAGGGGGCTTCCTGGCGGCAGGGCCAGTTGTCACCTCCCATGTCACCACGTGGAAGGTGTCTGCCCTCAGGCTTTTGTCATCTCTTTAGGAAGTGGGTTACTTAGCATCTCCTTGTCCACAGCTGTGGGTCCCAGTAATCAATTCTGGGGTAACTGGAAATGTCCTCTCCATGTCTCCGTGGGTGTTTTTTTAGGTCTTCATTTCTGGAACAAGTGGCAGGAGACCGGCAGCCTGGCATTGGTGGTGCCTAGAAAAATGCCCGGTACCGTGGGTCCTTGGTAACTACCTTCTGAAGGAACGACTCAGTGGGAAGACGGCTGTGGGCACAGTGAGTCCACTGTGAGAACAGGAAGAGAAAGGGGGCCGAGAGGGGCCTGACGCGCTGACCCCACGTGCCTGACGCCTTCCACCGTTCTTGCACTTCTCACAACGACCCTGAGAGGCAGGCTAACCAGACGGAAAGACCTCCAGCTGCTCCCAGCCAAGCTCGGGCGGGCGCACAAAAGGGCGGCGCCTGTGAGCCGGGCCCTGGCGTCCATGACCCTGGCTCCGTCCCCCGTGGCTAAGTTACTTCATTCTCCGCCTCCGATTCCTTACTTGTAAAAGTGGGACGGTAAGCCTACACAGTAAGGATTAAATTAGCTAATATATGCAATGTGCTTAGCACATGTAGAGACACGGCAGGTCATACACGGCAACCAGAGTCATTTTCATTATCACCATCACTGGGACAAACCCAGGTCTGTCCCCGCAAAGCCGGTGCTCTCTGAACGATGTCCCCCACGCCCACAGAGCAGCAGGCGTGGGGACCCAGGGAGGGTGATGAAGCCTCTGGGGCACTGGGGCTGAACGGAGCCGAAAGCCCCGGTGAGGGTGACAGTCAGACGGCCTGTGATGCCAGACGGCGGCCCGCAGCCCTGATGGAAAGGCAGTGAGGAACCTCTGTGGGCCTTTAATCAGGGAGTGAAACGACGGACGTGGTGTTTTAGGAAGATTAATCTGGCAGCAGAGACGGGAGGGAAAACAGTCCAGCTCAGTGCAGAGACTCATGACTGCTGCCCGGCTCCCTGAGAGGCGGGCCTTAGAGGAAAGTGGCCTCCTTCTTGGCTCCCTGGGTGCTCAGGGTTCCCAGCGGCTGGGAGGGGTGGGCCCCTCGTTAGGGAAGAGGCACTGAGGGAGGCTGGCAGGGGGCACTATTTTGTCAGTGACAGTAGCCCCTGCAAGGGAGTGCTGGCATCTGGACGGTGGAACAGGCGGCAAGTTCCAGGCCGAGCATCTCGACCGTGGCCAATTGTAAGCCAATTCCAGTCTCACCGTGGGGTCTGCTCTCAGTGGAAGCCCTTCAGGGAGGGCGGGACCACGCCCTCTAACCAGCACCAGCCCCCATAGGAGGCAGGGCCGCCAAGGTTCCTACGGGCTCCTGGGGCTGCTCTGGAACCGGCAGCCAAAGGGCCGAATGGAAGCAGGGCTGCCCCGGCCAAGAACGGGAGAGCTGCTGCTGCTTCGTTTTCTCCTCGTTTTATTTAGAGCTGTCAGATAAATGCAAGTGCTGAGGCAATTCTATCTTCTCCCGTCTTCCGAGGAGTCGGAGCCCACCGCCAGGTTGCCAGCAGCACTGCGCCGTGGCAAGGAGCCATCCACCCCAGTCCCTCACACCAGCGCCTGGAAAACCTCCACCTTCTCCCGGTACAGCCGGTGGAACTGCTTGGCCAGACAGTGGAAGGGGGCTTCGTAGTTTTCCATCTCCTTCTGCAGAGACGAGTTTAGGGAGTCAGTTGTGTTATTTCACATCATCACCGAGAGCCAGCACTCACTCAGCTTACCTCATGTCAGGTGCTACCCACGCCCTGCCTCACGCCACCCTCACCCTTTGCGCCGGCCACTATCATTATGCCCTTCTCACGAGAAGGAAGTTCAGACACAGAGAGATTCAGGTGCCTTGCCAGGAGCCACACCTGTTAGTGGTGGAGCTGGGTCTGAACCTAGACTGTTTCTACGGAGCCTGTCCTTTCCGCCACTCTCACTGTGTGTGTGACAGGACGTTAACAGGAGACTTTCTCGCTTAGATTTGACTGAGGCCCCACAGGCCAAAGCAAAATAACAGACAGCAAGGACTCCACAATCCGGAGGGAGGGCCGACAGGCTGGGCACCCCCTCCTCTCGAGGCCAGGGCAGTGCTGTGGCATTTACCCTGGGAGGGAGCCTTGCTCCGCATCGCCCCCCCTCCCCGCAGGCTGCGAGCTGGGAAAAGCGCAGGCGCAGAATCGCGGCAGCGGCCAGCCCGGCCCTGCTTCCCCGGGGGGGCTCAGGAGGCGGCGCTGACTTTACATCAGGAGGCGGCGCTGACTTTAAATTAAGTTAGGAATTTTCACAGTCACCCAGGACTGGGCATTTCAGTAACTGAAATTATGACTATTTTTGTGACTAAAGGTGCCCAAAGGACTGTTTATTATCTGAGAGAGATCAGAAAAGTTCTGGAACTTGCCCCAGATTTTCTCCACGGGGTAGGAAGAACTGGCCCCACAGGGTGAGCGTGGATGAGCTCTAGGGGAAGGAAAATGGCACCCTCTCAACCTAACAGCTACCCTTCTCTCCTTCTCTGTGCCCGTGTGCGTATTTTTAACTTTTTTAAAGAAACAAGTTGGCAGAAGAAAGTAGTCCCTACTTTCAAGACAGGAGCTCAAGCTATGAGCACACAAGAACCTGTTTTCAAACAATCCTTGGCAGCTGGCAAAGGTGCAGCCTTGATAAGAGGCAAAGAAATATCACCAACGAAAGGGAAGAGCTTCCACACTGAAGGGTGTTACGAGATCATCCAGCTCAGTGCCTGGGGCCCAGGAGGTGCAGTGCCCCTGCTGGTTCGTGCACAGCCCAGCCTAGAATTCAGATTCCCCAGTTTGAGAAGAGCAGCCTTTGCACTCTGCCAGCCAAGATCACAGAAACCCGCAGAGGAAACCAGTTCCTGTGGGGAAAGTTACCTGAACTCTGGAGGAGACAAGTGGGCCGAGGGCAGAATCAGAGGTGCAGGGCTGAGAGTGCTGAGGAAGGAGAGGACCGTTTGACGCTGAGATGAGCATCTGTGCCAAGCTCACAACTGCCAAGGAGCAGAAAGCTGTCACTCTCCAGTTGGACATGAGAAAAATAACTCAGTTATATCTGCAAGGCACCTGCGGCTGCGCAGAGCATCATGTCCTAGGCAATGCTGATGTCAGACAGTAAACTGTTACATCGGTTGAAAGTGCAGTTAAGTATTGGATGGATAGAGAATGAGCCCTACATAGCACACGCACAAAGATTTCTAAATGAATTTGAAAGCTCTTGAAAGCAAGATCTTGGGAAAATGCAACATAAAAAGTAAGGAATTCAATGGAGGCAAGCTCACCATGGTGTGCTCCTGAAATAGCAGATGCAAAATGAACCATTTTCCAAATGCATTATGAGGGCTTGCCGACGAAAGGAATCCTTTTGTTAAATGACTAATCATAATCTTGCTGACATACTATAGAGTAGGTTTGCTTCGAGGGAAGGATCTTCAGAGCAGGCTCAGGCTAGCGCTCAATCTGGCCTAGAATTCTGCCCGAGAGTCCCAAAGTAGGCTCTGTGGGAGGCCAGAGCCCCTTCTAGAAGGTTCTTGAGCTGGACAGGCCTGCATTCTACTCCTGGTTCTATTGCTCATTAGCTGGGCAACCAGAGAAAGCTACATAATCCTTCTGGGTCTGCTCGTTACCTGTAAGACAGGGACAGCAGCAGCTGCCTTGCAGCGCTGTTAGGAGTCTAAATGGACAATGTGTGCAAAACACCTGGCACACAGTAGGTGCTCAACACATGTCAGTTCCTCTCCCCTCACCTTCCTGAGAGGGGGGTCATCCAGGTAGATCTTTCTTGAACTTGTTTGTATTTAATACTGTCCAACTTCTTACAGTGATGAGCAATTTTTTTTTAAATTTTAACTTCTGTTTAAAGAAATGCTTTTTAATTTTTTGGTATGAAAATGTCAAACATCAAGGGGTGTTAGAAAGTCAAAGAGGAGCCACAAAAGACCTTGAATAGCCAAAGCAACTATGAGAAAGAACAACAAAGTTGCAGGCATCACCGTTCCTAATTTCAAACTCTATTACAAAGCTATAGTAATCCAAACAGGATGGTACTGGCATAAAAACAGACACATAGACCAATGGAACAGAACTGACAGCCAAGAAATAATCCCCCACATACATGGTCAACTAATATTTGACAAGGGAGCCAAGAAGACTCAATGGGGAAAAGATTGAGTTTCTTCAATAAATGGTGCTGGGAAAACTGGGTATTTACATGGAAAAGAATGAAACTGGACCGACCCCTACTTTACACCATTCACAAAAATTAACTCAAAATGGATTAAAGACTTAAACATAAGCCCTGAAACTGTAAAACTCCTAGAAGAAAACATAAAGAAAAAGCTCCTTGATATCAATCTTGGCAATGATTTTATAGAAATGACACCAAAAGCACAAGCAACAAAAGCAAAAATCAACAAGTGGGACTACATCAAACTAAGAAGCTTCTGCACAACAAAAGAAATAATCAACAAAATGAAAAGGCAACCTATGGAATGGGAGAAAATATTTGCAAACCACACATCTGATAAGGGGTTAATATCCAAAAAATATAAGGAACTCATACAACACAAATAATTGGTAAAAAACGGGCAAAGGACCCCCCCCAAACAGACATTTTTCCAAAGAAGATATTCAACAGGCCAACAGGCCAACGTGAAAAGGTGCTCAACATCACTAATCACTTGAAATGCAAATCAAAACCACAATGAGATATCACCTCACACCTGTTACAAATCAAAAAGACAAGAAATAACAAGTGTTGATGAGGGTGTGGCGAAAAAGGAACCCTTGTGCAGTGTTGGTAGGAATGTAAATTGGTGCAGCCACTATGGAAAACAGTGTGGAAGTTCCTCAAAAAATCAAAAATAGAAATACCATATGATCCAGCAATCCCACTTCTGGATATTTACCCAAAGGAAACGAAATCACTATCTTGAAAAAATACCTGCACCCCAATGTTCATTGCAGCATTATTCACAATAGCCAAGACACGGAAACAACCTAAATGTCTGCTGATGGACAAACAGATTAAAAAAATGTGATATATAATGGAATGTTATACAGCCATAAAAGAGAAGGAAGTCCTGCCATTTGCAACAACATGGATGGACCTTGAGGGCATTACGCTAAGCAAAATGTCAGACAGAGAAAGACAAGTACTGTATCTCATTTATAAGTAGAATCTAAAAAGGGGGAACTCAGAGAAACAGAGCAGATCGGTGGCTGCGAGGGGTGGTCGGGGGTGGGGGAAATGGGTGAAGGTGGTCACAGGGTACAAAGTTCCAGTTTTAAGGTGAATAAATTCTGGGGATAGAATGAAAAATAAAAAAAGAAAGTCAAACAACCATGCAGGTGCCTCCTTTAGGTCTGCAGGACGATGGCTGTTGCATTTCGTAAGAGGGGAGGAGATGGGCTTGGTGTCACGACTTGGCTGCGTCTCAAACAGTACTTGGTTATATTTCCTTTTTAATTACAGCTTCCTTAACTGAGCTGCTGGTGGTGCTTCTGTTCACATCAACTCAGGGGGGACTAGTTAACTTGCACAGTTAATACCAAGAGCTTAACTGCAGCCTCCTCAAGTATAATTTATACCCGCCTGTTTCAATAGCGTAGCAATGAACACCTGAGTGGCATTTAATCACAAAGCCCAGCGGCCTTTGGTGACTAATGTGCTGGGGGTGGGTGTTCATTTTTGAGTTCCATCAAGAGTTCCGGGGAAAATGAGCTATTGGGTGAGGAGGCAATTTCACAAATGTGAATGGAGGAAGAGGGAGTCCTGAAATACTGTCTGCTGTGGGCAGCGCAGCTTCCTGCATTGCTCAAAGCCGGGCTGCGTCAAAGACGAGAACGCTCTGTACAGTGAAAGCTCACTAATCTGAACTTCATTAATTCAGCATTTGTGATCACTGGGCCAGAGGCAAAAGTGACACTTATCTTTGCACCATCTATAAATGGAATACAAGGATTTACTAAAAAGTAATAATAGTATAAACAAGATTACCAGGGGGAATATTTATACTTAAAAAGCTAACATTTAGAGTGTTTACTATGCACCGGACTTTGTGCTAAGTGTTTTCATATTCGCCATCTGACTTAACTCTCGTATTTATTACTCATGAGGGATATACTTTCTTGTCTCCATCTTACAGGTGCAGAGCCTGAGGCACCAGGGTTGAGTACCATGCCGAGGGTCCCAAAGCTAGCTCTGCTACTCACCGTCAGAGGTGGGAGCACCTGCCTCTACCCGCCCGCCACACTTTCCTTAAGGAAGCATGCGGCTTTGGGGGGATTTGAAAACTTCACATCCCCACAGCAGCTGAACATTTGTCAAGTTTTGTAGATGTGACAACAGAAGCGCCTGTAGCTTGAGCAGACTTTGAGCAGAAAACGACCCCAGGCTATTTAGTAACTAGCCACTAACTCTCTTGGAGGGTCAAAGAATCAGGTCTGCAGGCCAAAGGCTGGGAGTGAGGTCCAAGTTACAACCACGGATGTTTCCAGCGGTGCCAGGCCTGGCGAGGGGCCCTGTAGCCTGTGCCCTGGCCCTGCGGCTCTGAGACGGACGTTTCTGGGCTGCTCCCGCAGGGCAAGTCCTCACTTTACTCCCTCCCTAGTAAAGTCTCACACAAGCGTGTCCCGACTGGACAGCCTGGGTCACACGCCTGCACTCCAGCTGCAGGGAGGCTGAGACCTCAAAACTCCCAACACAGCAAGGGGGTCACCAGTGCTGGACAGCCCGAATCACGATATAGTGACTGAGGTGCCCATAACAAACCACTCTGACTGTCCCCCAGGACAAGGGCTGACCCTACTGGAGGACACTCTGGCCTGGAGTCACCCTGGGGCTGCAGCAAAGTGGGGACAGGGAGCACTGATGAATCAGAAGCCATGGATCCTAGTCCTGGCTCAACCCTTTACTAGTCACGTGACCTTGGGCAAGTCACTTCACCTCAACACAGAAGTGGGAATTGCGGGGCCAGCTCCCAGTTCGTGGGACTGATTTTGAGGGGCTATGAAATAATGTTCCAACAACACCGTAACCCATAATATCTCATGCAAACGTCAAGGGTCACTATAATTGAACACAATATACTTGTGTTTCTAATTGACATACGACTTCTCCCAGGGCTGGCTGATCTGCTTTATTGTAATGCACGAGTGACTCTTGCTATATTGAGAAAGGATCTTGGGCTAAGAATGTAAACATCAATTCCAAATTAGACTCTGCATACGGTGGAATAACAACTCGACGCATGCGAGGTCACGTGAAAACTGCTTCCAGCAGAGGCCCGCTCCAGACCTGGCTCCAGAGCCAGGGGAGATACTCACCACGGATGTTTCAAAACATTCCAGGCCTTGGCCCAGCGCCCACGCCCGGGCCTGCGCTGATTCCACCGCTCGTCTGCTGGCCAGGTCTGTCTTATTCCCCACCAACACACCTACGCGAAAGAAACAAGCAAACATCGCACTGAACGGTGGCAGTCTGGGAGGACAGCTGGGGAGATAAAAGAGCAAGCACACTAATTTTCGGGGGTGTAAAACATCGTGGGAGAGAGGCTGCCCCATTGGAGGTGGGCACACAACAGGGAGAGCAGGGGACTCTGTGCTGGCCCCTGGGGGGCGGCCCCAGCACAGCAGGTGGGCTCTACTTGCACACACAGCTTTTGTTCAGCCCCTTGATTTCTAGACTTTACATGTACCTGTCTGCCTTGTCTCCTTCAGGCTGCGAGCACCGTGAAGGCGAGGGCCAAATTTATGTGAACATTTATGATAATTCCTAGCACATGGAGCAAACTTTAAAAATGGTCATTACTACTAATCTAAGGACCAGGCTCAGAGTCAGGGATCCAGAGGTAATTTAGTTCCGTTCCCAGCTGCATCAGCTGCAGCTAATTTTTGAGCCTGTCTCTGGAGACTGCTCTCCCTGGGCTATAATGAGGAGAATTTGTTGATCTCACATAGGGATGAAAAATAAACTGATGTAGAGCATTCAGAAGTGACAACAGGACTTGAATGTTTACTTGTGCCCCACACACAGGAGAGAGTGAGGAATTCTTCCCTGGGGTTAGCTTTCTGGGAATAACAAGTGCTATTCATATTATAGCACCTTCCCCCCTATTATCTTCAGTCCCCCACAACCCTGCGGGGGCGGGGGTTGTCATCATGCCCATTTTACAGACTCACAGAGCTGTGCTAACTCGCTGAGGTTTCTGTGGCTGCTAGGAGGCAGAGCCAGTGTAGGATCCAGACCATCACACGCCAAGCCCAGGGCACCCTTTTTTGCACCCACAGCCACCTCCGTAATGACCTTGCTCTTGAACTTGAAGGACAGAAGTGCTGCTGGGAGACTCGGACGCCTGCAGCTCCTACCTGGGAGGGAGACGCCTGGACTCTGTGCCCGAGCCTTCTCCAGCCACTTGCTGCAGTTCTGGAAGGACTGCTCATTGGTCACATCGTAGACGAGACACAAGACGTTGGGACTCTCCCACTGTAAAGAGGGACAGGATGAGCACATGTCAGCAACAGTGAAAGTGACTTCTAGACTGGGGGGGAAAGGGGCCTTCCAAGGGAGGGGACGTCCAGGGGGAGGGAAATGAAAAACCACAAAGGGGATGTGAGTCAGAAAACCGAGGCGCACCCACAGAAGAAAACAATTCACCCGGAGGCATGCATGGGAGGGCTGGGCTCGGGGGTGGGGAGGGACTAGGTGCTCTGTGCCCGCTCTCTGCCAGGCACCTTCCACGCATCACTGTGAAACCTCCCAACTTGGCAGGGCTGGTCTGAACAGCCCCACTGTGTAGATGAAGAACCTGAGTTCAGAGAGGGTAACTGACTTGCCCAGGTGAGACATGCTTGAAAAACAAGAGACCAAGGAGGACTTTTCTCTATGCAGAAATGCTTTTTTGCCTGCCACCCGTTTCATTAATTCATTCTTCCACTCATTCTCATTGAGGGCCCGCTATCATGCAAGTTGTTATGTTTTTCTCCTTTGCAGGCCTAAAAGAGCACCGCTTCTTTCATCAGCCAGTCACAGGGAGTTGTTTTCTTGCATCTTCTTAATAAGGGCTGGGTTTCAAAATGCAAAGGGCACTTTCTGCTTCTCCTGCAGTGTATCAGCCGTAACCCAGACCAGACCCACAACCGGACAGGGCCTGCTGTCCCAATTAAGAACCAGGGCTCTTCAGGGGGCTGTCGCCTCCAGGGGCTGCTCAGAGTCCTGGGACGTCCTGCTGCCTGGCACGGGGACATAGGACAGCTCTGCTCAGCCTGTGACGCTTGTCCTGATGCATCTGACTCTTGGCCATGCCCTGGTCCCTGGGGACCCTCACCCTGCGCAATTAGAGCCTGGTATACTTCTGGGTGTCAGTGACCTCCCAGGGTGCAAGGGAGAATCCTTTTCCCTCCGGTTGTCCTTGGAGGGTCAGCCCAGAATTGGCTCTGGAGGGCTCCCCTCGCCCCGCCTCAAGGCTACACTGGCCCAGGGAGGGGCTGGACTGAACGGACGACCCTCACTCCTTCGCTCCAGAGACTAACTCGAGAACTCTCGCAAGAATCACACTGACCTCCCCTATGCGCACGCAGCAGAGACCACAGCGTGGTTTTAACTCAAGAAACCTCCCTCCTCTAGGCCTCAGTGGGGGGGCCAGGTGAGGCCCGGGATCGAGCTGCGCAGGGGAGCCCGGGGTCAGGGCTGGCTGGAGGGAGGGTGTGGGCTGACCCTGACGTGCACACAGTAGGCACGTGGTAAACATCATGAATTGATGTATGAAGCCAATCCTGGGTGAAATTACCATCATTAGATCTACTTCTCTTAGACAACAAAGAAAGGGGCAGAAAACAGTTTCTATTAAAATGTAGGTGTTCTTGGAAAGGCAGGGGAGGGCTCGGGAGAGCTCGGGCCTTCTCATTAGCTCCCTGGCCCAGATTTGCGGAACTGTCACCTGGGAAGGGACAGCAAGCTGAGTCCTGAGATGATGGCCGGATGGGCATGATGAGCCCTGGACGGCAGCAGGGGCGTGTCCCACAGCAAACCTGGAGGGGCCCTGGGGGTGGGCGGGAAGGTGAGCCCCACTATGGGGCCTCTAGAGATTTGCTCCTGTCCTGGGAGGTTGAGGAGTGGTGGCGAAGGCACACGAACAGGAGGAGGTCGCTCAAAAGAAGGGAGGCCCCAGAGCGGGCGGCTGCAAGGACTGAGCCCCATGGCTCTGGCACATTTGGAACCCGGCCATTCCAGAGCTGGGGGAGGGGACAATCCCCAATCACAGGCACGAGCCATTCTTACCGTCCCAAGGCTGGGAGGAACGCCCCTGAAAGGATTTTGCCATGGCGGCCAGAGTGCAGGGACATTTCTGTGACAGCACTGTAAGGGGCAGACTTTCTGGCAGGAGGTGGTAGTGGTGGTGGTTGGGAAAAAGACTGAATGCTACTTGCCAACTTATCCAGCATTTCAGAGAACGGCTCCTTGCCGGCAGAGTCGAAAATGAAGAGTTCCTAGAATCAGAAAGGCATGTCCCAAGAAAGCCTACACATGGGGAAGCCACTGGCTCAAATCACGGATATTGCTCTCAGCTCACCGTCCACCTGTCTCAATGGTGAGATACACACACGCACGTGTGCACACATCTTCATACACGCCCCATCTTTTCCCCAAGGCACGAGGAAGATGATGGGAAAAGGAATGAGCTCAAGAGTCTTAGAGAGGCAGTGTGAGGGTTTCCCACACCAGCACTTTCTGTGTGGCGTCTCACCCGTCCTAACCCCGAGTGCAAAAATACCAGGAACAAGCTGACTTCCCACCTGGCAGAACAGAATGCTACACAGGCTGACAAGTGCTCCCGTTTCCAAAAGGTCACTCTGCACTTTGTTAACCAAATTGATTTTCAAATCTTGAAACAATTCTTTTTAAAGGAGGTCACTGAGCAGGCCTGGAGAAGGCGTTTAAAGTAGGGCAGCCTGTCGTCGTTCTGGGATGGCCAAGCTGTGATTCTGCCGGCGGGCGCGGGACCACCCTTCCTGCCTGTCCAAACCTTAGCCAGCCTGTGTGAGCCCCTCCCCAGTGCTGCTGCTCCGGCAGTCTCCCCTGGTTTCCCCCGGAAGCTCCCCCAGGCACTGGACATCCCTGGCTGGTCTGCCCCCGGCACACGCTCTGTGGACGTCAGGACATAATCTGCGCTGCACACTGGTCGTCTGGGCCTCATCTCATCCCTTCTCACTGCAGCCGGGGTACTTAAAATTGTTTTATGCTCATGGACCTCTTTATGAATCTGGTGTTTCTCAAACCTTCTCTCCAGGCAAGTACATACAAACATAGCATCTTGCAACTCAATTTCAAGAGCGTGGATTCCCACAGAGGGACCCAGGGCAAGAACCTTGATACAAGGTAAGTTCTGGGAGGGCGGGCCCTGGCCCAGTCTCCGTACTTCCCCTTCGTCAGCCCCTCCCTAAAATGCTTCCCGTACTCCAGGATCCTGTGTCCAAACGCTCAGACAAGTCGAGGCCAAGTCCTTGCTCCGCATCTCTCCCAGGGAGGAGACCTCGGGCCCAGCTGGAGAAGCACTAAGCTCCCTCAGGTCCAGGGCACCACTTACCACACTGTCCCCCGTGTCAGGGACTGGCACCGTCTTCACCACCAAGTCCACTCCTGTTGTCTGCCGAGGAAAACCGAGAACGCGCGTGTCAGAGGGCGCCGAGGAAAACCGAGAACGCGCGTGTCAGAGGGCGCCGAGGAAAACCGAGAACGTGTGTGTCAGAGGGCACTGAGAGGCGTGTCACAGGACGACACGACGGGCACCCGACGCCCACAGGCAGATCCCCAGCTTAAGTGTTTGTGTTCTGGACTCACTTCTGGTGCAGAAGTCAGAGAGGACCAACCAGTCTCACCCAATTCCCTGCCCACAAGCGAGCCGTCCATGGTGACCAAAGTTGACCACTGGCTGCTCTGCTCGGCAGACAGCCCCACACCCTGCGGCTTGTGGAAACAGGATCTCCACGTGGCCACTCGAGCAGCCTCTTGTCAGACCTCTTAGGGCTTTTTAAGGAATTTTGGAAAGTCACTCCCTCAGGGCTGTCTGATCATTTCTCTTCAAGCCCCGGCCAGGCCCACAACCCCCACATCTCACCAGGGTGTAGTTCTTCTGGAATTGGGCCCCATCGCTGCGGAAGATCTGCGCCAGGGTGGTCTTGCCCACTGTGGAGTCTCCTATGCGGTCAGAGCAGAAGAAAAATATCACTTCCATCCTAATCTGACCTGAGAACCTCCCACTCCAGAACGCGAGGCGAGAAAGCAAAACCTCAATGAGTTTTCAGAGAAAATGTGCCTGATTCTCATGAGAACTTGCTCTGAGGTCGCTGGCAGGGCAACGGGTCCATGAGACCAATCTTCAAAACCCATGACAGCCAGAGTCACATTTCTTCCCAGGCAATCCTTTCATCCCAAAGAAATGACCCAGAAGGCAAGAGAGCGTAAGGCAGGCTTTAGAGCACTGGAGACAGAACTGACCCTCTTCCACTGACACGTCCTATGGGGAAAACTGTCACTTCCAAACATGAATTCACTTTGAAGTCTTGAAGCGAAAGAGGTGTGACCAGGCGCAGGGCAGAGGCTCACCTGACTGACTGAACCAGTGTGAGTTTAGAGCTTCCACACTGAGGACCCTGCATACTTTTTGGGGGGGGGGGCGGGGCGGTGGAAGTTGGGAGGGTTTCTGCATTTATGGGAAGAAGTCAGACGCTACATTCGCCACCCTGCAATCCATTTCCAAGTGATGGATTCCCCCTCCACCTCCACGTGCCCCTTTGTGCCCACTGTGGACCCATCTTCCCAGGGCCTCTCCTCCAATTCTATTTGTAAGAGCCACTGTCTCCTCCGAGCCGTCTGACACCCACTGGGTTTATCTCCTCAGCTTTTCTTTGTTAGTCGACAGCCCCATACATTGGTACCTCAAAACTAAAGGTTTATGTCACAGTTTCAGCATGAGATCTGGACCTTTCACAAGACTGTCAGGAGCAATTTAATCTGGAGGTCCTCCCCTGCCACCAAGGCTTCTGCAGGCTCTCTGTGCCCGCCCTCAATTGCCCTGTGCCCTCCCCACTCCGCCACCAATGGCTCTGCTTGGCCTCCTTTGAGCCACGCTGTTTTCATTGGCAAGACCTTTTCCACGTTCCCCCATCATCCAGCCCCCTGACAGAACGCTGTCTTCTGCCCTCTTGCCCCCTTGATCCTTAGCAAACCACCGCCGCGCTCGCGTCCCTCTGCCTGCACCCCTCGGTGCCATCTCTTCACCTTCGCCCCCATTTTACAGTCGACTCCAACGCTTCCCCTCACTTGACTTCTCGAGAGCCTGCTGCTCTGTCCTCGTCTCAGTTTTGACTTTTCCCACCTATAATTTTCTCTTGTGAGACAATTATTTGACTACCTGTGGCATTTCTTTTCATGTTAACTCCTCCAGCTTTGAGGGAGCTATTCAGGTCTGGCTTCTCTGTTTACCACCACTTCTCAGATGGAACCAACATGGGCTGAGCCTCCCTCATGAGCCCATTCACACAATCTCATTCCCTCCTTCCCAGCCTCCTCCCCCACGGGGACTATCACTAACCTCACTTGACAGATGAAGAGACCAAGGCTCAGAGAAGCCTAGGGTAACTGGCCTAGGATTCCAACACCACGCCCTCTCCACCAGACCCCACTCCTCTCTTAGAGCTCAGGGATACTTCTGACCCATTTTTGACCCTGCTCCTTCAGGCCCTCATCGCCGCAGCCTTCCCTGACATCGGAGGCAGCCACAGGCTGGACTGTCACCGGGTACCATCCATCTTGGAGCAAACAGAGCACGTCCCTCTCCTTCTTGTGCGATGACTGCATCTACTCTCCTGACTCCAATTCTGCTTCTGAATCCAGTTGGAAATTGGCTCTTCCCGCTTGTGAAATTCCCCACAGATTTGTTCTGGTTAATTTCATAAATCCTTCCTCCGACTGTCAGTCAGAGTCACCCACACTTACAGAATACCTCCTGTGTCTGCTGAGGAGGGCTCCAGGCCCAGGGAGGGGGGTAAGTGATAAACACGTCTGCAGAGCAACAAGATGACAAGTGCAAATTCAAATAGCACAAGCTGCGAACCAGAGCATCTGAGGGCGCACCGAGGAAAGACAGGAGTGCGCGGTTTCATCAGCAGGCAGACTTCCCTGGGGGCGGGGCTGAGCCTGGCAGTGACAGCAGGGTGGGCACTGCTGGACAGAGGGGGTGACGTCTGCACAGGCATGGTGCGAGATCACCCATCACCTCATAATCGCCAAGTCCAGTGGTTTTTTCTCGGTCTGAAGGATGAGTCAGCCTGAAGCAGCCCCTCCTTCCCAGCCCTCTAGCCCCACAGCCCTGGTGACCCTGAGCTGGCCTGGTTCTCCATCCGCTCTGCCTCCTCCTCCTGCCTCCTGAACGCCGACTCTCCTGTAGGTGTGTCCTGGGCCTCTGTTCCCACCTACTCTCGTTACCTTGCCTGTCACTTCCCAGGTCAGGACCTCTCTCCAAGCTTTGTCTGCATTTCCAACCACCTGTGGCTGTTTCCACTGGAACGGAGGGCCTCCGCCCAGTCTCCCTCTGTCTACAGCCAGGCTCGTGTCCTGCTCCTGGGTGCCGAGTGGTCTCCCACCTGTCTCAGTTGTTCTGTTTGTGATGTCACCATGCGTCCTCACCACCCCCAGGCTTCACCCCCAGTCACCTCTGACGGCTCCTCCCACACCTGCTCGGTCTCCTCTTCATTCCTGACGGCCTCTGCTGGATCCCCAGCCCCCACTTCCTTTGTCGTCACTGCTGACACTGCCCTGGTTACCTCTTACCTCACATCGGGCTTTGCTGCAGCCCCAACCCACCCGTCCAGGCTCTGCTTTGTGATGCTGGGACACTGCAAACGCGTTTCTCCTTTGCCGAGGGCTTCCCGTCAGGCTCTGCCAATGCGAGATCTAGAGCAAGACTGGAAGGCTGGCGGGGGAGACGGGACTTGCTCCTTCCCATCTGCTTGTGGTTTCTCTCAGCATCATCCTAGCAATGGCCTTCACCCCAGCAGCAGCAGTCGGTTGCTGTCTCCAGGTCTTGTTTGGTTTTGCACTTTCAGCCCAGCCTTACCACACCGGCTCAGAGATACCAGCGTCATTGAGCAGCGCCCCCTTCTCAGAGATCTGCATCCCAGCTCCCCAGGGCCCTCCCGAGCTTTGAGGTTCTGATAACCCCCTCTCCCCCCTGTTCCCCCAGCCCTGAGGTAAAATTCCTTCCTGCAGTTATCTCTGTGCTGCCTTACTGTCCCCTTTCGTCTCTCCAGTCCTCCAGCACCTGTTTAATTAACCTCCCACACTACATCCCATGGAAATACCTAGAGCAGTTTCTGCTTTTCACCTGCACCCTGACTCGCAGCACTTGGTACCCAGAGTGGTCTCCCACAGACCCTCAGGATGGTCTGGAATCGATCTGGTCCTGTCTTGCCCTGAACACGGGGCTGAGCTCCCCTCAGCAGGCAACGGGTCCTAGTGATCCGTAGCATGTGGCGCCCTCACACGCTGGGGGACTGAGTTCCTGAGGTGCCAGCCCAGCCGGGCAGCGCTGTGGGGTTCTTCTTCAAGCTGACCCCCCCAACCTCTCTCGACCATGTCGTGCCATCTCAATGTCGTCTTCTTGCTTCTCCAGGTCTCCAGCACCAGGTGAACCAATGCCACGTATTAAAATGTCTCTGTCGAGAGGCCTCAGGTACTTCCTGTTTTCTTGACTGGGTCTTGACTGAGCACACTCCCCAGCTGGCCCTCTCTCCTTTTCGCTTTTCACCCTGCTCAAACCCACCATCAGCCTCAACAGACGGACCCTCATAACACGCACTTTCACTATTAGGCTCTCACACAGGAACGCCCAAGGATTCCTTCCAGGCACACCCCCCTCCACTGTCACCCCTAACCCCCCCCAACTCTCTCTCCGCCCCTCCCTCACCCCAAATCTGGGCTCCACACTCCTAATCTCTTCATCTCTGAAAATCCCTCGAAGACAACCTCCTTCCAGGTCTCTCCGGTCCAAGGCTAAATCCTGCTCATTTTCTAACAGGCAAAGCTCAGAGGGTCCTTTCTGCCTGGCCTCTGAAGGTCATCTCCCCCTCCTGTCTTTAGCCGTGTGGCTAACATGGCTCACTGCTGGCAGCACGAGCCTTGATGGCAGAGCAGGCCTCCAGGGAGGCACTGTGAGCATCCCCACGCACATCCACAGGCAGCGTATCACAGTGCTTAGGGCACAGACTCCAGCTCCCTCACTTACTCGCTGTGTGACCTGGGGTCAGCAACCTCTCTGGGCCTCAGCTGCCACATCTGCAAAATGGGGGTAACAATAGCACCTATCTCATAGCACTGTTTTGAGGATTTAAGAGTTAACATGTACAGTGCCTGACATATAGTTAGTAATATTTAAGTGATTTTTAAATAAATATAGATAAATGTCAAGTATTGTTTTTTCTCTTCATTTGAACCAGAACAATTAGCAGCTGTGCCTTGAGGTATTTCTCTGGTACCTGGTACACAAAGGACATTCGATTCGTGTTTGAATTGAATTATAAGTTATGATGCACATCTCAGCGCTTCCTTGAGTGTCGGGGCTGGCCTGACTTCTCCTTGTAGTCCCACTGCACCTTGCCTCGTGACTCACACACAGTAGGTCCTCAATAAACATCTGTTGAATGAATAAGCACTCGAAGTAAATATCAGGTCCCTCAGTGACTAGTTATGTGAGAGAAAAAACAGATTGATTAGGTCTGTGTGGGGAAAGAAAAAAATAAAACCAGTGAAGAGGGGTGTGTGGTGGAGGTGGTATGGAGAAGGCGAATTTGGTGGCTGGTGGTGCTGAAGTCTCCTGGCCCCTGCAAACTTCTAAGAGGACATACCCTTGAGGCCTTGAAAGGAGGCTGCAGATTGAGGGTGAGGCTGGAGTTCAGCAATCACTTAGGCAGCTACTGAAATTAGGTGAAACAGTACCTGGGAGAGTGGGTGTAAAGAAGGGCAAAGAGTCTAGAATCGAGGCTTGAGCACGGTATCGCTTGGGGCTGAGAAAAAAGCCCTGGAAATCAGGTCCAGCTGTGTGACCCAGGGCAAGTGTCTTAACCTCTCTGGGCCTCAGCTGCCCTATCTGTAAATGAGAATGACAATAATGCTGACCCCACAGGATTGTTGTGAGGATTCAGTGAGACAACCTGTGGTGAGGGTCTAGCACAGTACTGACACACGAAAGGTACTCAGTCAGCTAGCCCCATGATAGAAGCTGAATTAAAAAAGAAATAAGAAAAAGAACAGTTAGAGAGAGAGAAGCCCATTTAAAAAAATCTAACTTCAGAAAATAAAAACGTTCCCACCTTATCCCTGAGGAAACTGAGGCTCAGAGAAGTGCTCTGTGCAAGATGACACAGCCAATCAGAGGAAGAGCCAGCTGATTTCTGTGACACAATACTGCCTCCCCTGGCGCTCTGGAAACCAGAGACCTCTCTTGAGAACCATTAATTCCTTTTGCTCCAGTATGATTTGAGCTACTGTTGTCAGTCATCTTTCTGTGTGACCCTTTTATGTCCAAATTAGAAAAGTCATTAAAAATATCATCTATTTTCAGTCTGAAAGAGCGGAATCAAAAAAAAGGAATCCTTCTTCTCTAGATAATGTCTCACCGTTTCATTCCTGAGCTGGTCAGGGAACCCCAGAGAGGCCTACGTTTCAATGGTAACACAAAAATTTTCAAATTGGGCAGATCTGGGGGTTGAAATCCTACGACCTTCCTTCACTAGGGGGTGACCTTGGGCAAGACTCTTCAGCTCTCAGCACATCAGTAAGATCAGAACAACACAGCACGGACCCCAGCGGGCTACCGTGACAGGATTAAATGAAATACATGTGCCTGGCATACAGTTAGGACTCACATACATAGGACTCACCTAGTAGGGGACATATGTGTTCTGTGGCCCCAGGTCTCTAATCCAGGCAAATGTTTTTCTAAAGGTGCAGACTGATACAAACAGAGCACCACAAATGTGCACGCCACAAATTCATTCATTCTACAAATATTTATTGAGTTCCTATTATGTCCCAGATACTGTTCTGGGTGCTTGGGATGTATCAGTCGGCAAAGATTCCTGCCTTTGGAGGACTCAACGTTTATGCCCTTCTGAGCGTGGGCAGCACAGTAACTTTGGGTCTTAAAGACAACACACATGGGCCTTTTGCAAACTCCAGTCAAGCGTACATCACCGTCTCCTATCCCTGCTATCAGAGGGGATGGGGTCAGGAAAATCATCCCACAGGTAAAGACGACCACAGTCACTGAAGCCTAACTGCGGGACAGCCCGTGGGTTCCGGTGAAGCACTTATGGTGTGCTTAGCTTGATTTTTTAACGCGTCAACTCCTCCTGAGTACAGCTCAGACTGGAGAAGGTGGTCTCAGAGTAGACAAGGAGCGGGAAACTCGGCCAGAGCTACCACCGTGCTCTGGAAGAGAGTTCTTCCACGCCTAGAGGAATTGACTCTATCAGTAACGGCAGTAACTCGCCTTTGGGCAAGAGAAAGGGAAAGCGGGCAGACAATTTACGTGAACCAAAGCTCTCGATAACTCAGGAAGTCGTTGGACTCCAGAGACTGGATTCAACCGCAAGTTTTCAGACTCACCTGCCAGGATGCACTTGGCTGCCAGCTTCACCATGGTAACCAACCACCTCCAAGGACCAGAGAGGGGAAGAGCGGCGGCTGGAGGAGTTGGCAGGCCTGCCTGGGAAGGGAAGTGAGGAGGGCTGACGCTCAAGGGGCTGTGGACGCGATGGGGACGGGGACGACGGGGTCTGGACCCCCAGGGCTGCGCGGGGGGCGGATAAGGGGTGCTAGGGTTGGGACGGGGGCGCAGGGCGTGCCAGATGCGGCCCAGCTCAAGGCCTCAGAAGGCAGCCGGGAAAGGCGCGAGCGAGGCGGCGCGGCTCCCGCTCCCGGTCCAACCCCTCAGCCCGGCCCCCAGCAGCGGGGACCTGGAAGAGCAACCCCGCAGCCCCTCAGCCCCCAGCACCGCGCCAGCCGCTACCGGGGCAACCATCGCCCGCCTGCCCCGCCTCCTCCTCCTCCTCGCTGACCCTCGATTGGCTGCTGCCAAGAGCTCCCGCCCCGAAGGTTCTCGGAGGCCAGTGGGAGGAGGGGGCGGGGATAACAGCCCTCCCTTGTGAGGCAATTCGTAGTGGCATCTGCTCTTCAAGCTCAACCCGCTCGGCGAATGGTTGCAAGAGGTGTCAATCATTTACACCTCCCGCACCCGCCCCGCCGGAAAGTTCAGGGAAAAGCAGCTCCAACCTCGTGCAGCTAGAGCGGTGATAAAAGAAGCTTTCTGATTGGCCAGAGGCTGGCTTGGCCCATCTTCGGGAGGAATGGGGATTCGCCGCACCCCCCTGCCCTTCTGGAAATGAGTTCTCCCACGAGGCCCGTCGGGCGCGCTCAAGTCTGCAGCGGCGCCTGCGCAGTAGAGGAGGCCGCAGTTGCCCGAACCGAGCTCTGAGCCGGTTTGACGTCGCGGAGGTTCGTGTCGCTCCCCCAGATTCCGGGTGCCCGGGAGCGCGGCTATGAGGTGCATCAAGAAATGCAGTCCTTGCCCCGCATCCCGCAGGGAAATCTCATTTTTCAAGCCCAGGGATGTTATGCGCTTTAAAGTCTAAAGTATGAAAGTGTTTAAAGTGATGTCTGTGAGCAGAAGGGAGAACAAGTGAACTTTGATGAGGGACAGGGTTAGACTCTGGCATTTGAAGTCATGCTTTCCTCTGAGCCCGTTTCCTTTTTTGTAAGATGGAGCACATAGCACATACCACATATTGAATGAAAGCAAGCATCCAGGAACATTGCCCGGACACGCGAGGCTTTGCCGGTGTCTGTTGACTTTCCGGAGAGGCCCCTCTTGCTCTGTGGCCAGAGAACCCAGACTGAAATCACTGCCATCTTCCTGACCCGGGCGAGGCCTCACCCCCGAGCCTCTTTCCTCATCTTTAAAGGTGGGCTAGTAGAACCCACCTCATGGGTTGTCCTGAGGACTAAAAGAGAAAGTATGTAAGTGCCTGGGACATGGTGGGTGCTCAACAGTGAGTGTTGAATGAGAAGAAATTTATCTGGACAGGTCTGGTTTATCATCGCCATCATGGACCGGCCGGATGCCCCGCTGTTCTCGCTCCTGCTGCGCCCCCGGGATGGCCGATGCTGAAAGGGAGGAGTAGCCCCCCTGGAAGAGGCCTGCGCCGGGGATTCGCCATCACATACCTTTCAGTTACCTGGACCTTCTCTCAGCTGCTCTGTGTCTTAGGGTGGCTGCCAGCCTTGCGCAGGGCCCTGAACACACACACACTCCATGAACTGCTATGAAAGTTTCAGCCCTGAATTTGGAGTAAAACAATGCAAGTTGTCTGAAATTTTCTTCCCTTGGGAGTCACTCCTAGTGTTATGGTTAAGACCTGTCTCCCCTTCATTCCTCATACCTACTTTTCTTCTTAGAGATGTCATGCGAGTCTGTCTCAGACACCCCAGGCCTCAGTGAGTCAGAAAGCCTCTCCCTGCCTCCCCCTCCAGGCTGTCCTGTTCACCGTGACCCCATTAATCCCTTACAGGAGCCCTTGAGTGAGTCAGCCTTCCAAGGCAGCTCCGTGGAGCTGAGACACTGAGATCCATCTGGAGGTGGCCTCTGGAGCCTCAGTTTCCTCATCTGCACGCGGGGTCATAATGGCACCTCCCACACAGGGCTCTTCTCTGCAGCACATCCACTCTTTCCCTGTCATTGCTGCTACTCTGTGTGTTTGTAGTCAGCACCATCGTAAGGCATTTTGGATCTTTCCAGAGAGGCGGTAAACCCTGTATAGTGAATTCTACCCCCCTCCCTGCACCATCTCAAGGGCCTTCTGTACATTCTTGATGACTGAATGACAGCTGCATGGCCCAGAGTCACTGGGTTTAAGGCGGTCAGAGAGTTTAGGAGCCATGAGGGCCCTTGAGAAATTCTAGTCTAAGTCCCTCCTGAGCAGCTATAACAGCTAAAGCTGGTGTATGTTGAGCACATACTGAGCGCCAGCCTCATTCTAAGTGCTTTAAAGGATTAATTTAATATTCATGGTCATATTTGATATTCACACTAACCCCCATGAGGCCTGTATCATCCCCATTCAACAAATGGGCAAACTGAGGCCCAAATGAGGTTAAGTCAAAGGCCCAAGGTCACAAAGCTAGTGAATGGCAGAACTGGGGACTGAACACAGGCAGACCATCGCCCCCCTGGCAGAACAGGGGCCTCTCCCGCCTCTAACTCTTCTCACCCTTCCTCCCATCCTAGACAGTAAGTGTGTACTGAGTTCCTTGCAGTTGTAGCTCTCGCTGATTGAGCGTTGTATGCCAGGCACGTGCTAAACAAATCACATCCACTCTCTTGTTGGATGCAACGACTCTGGAAGTGGAAACTCTCGTTGCTTCAACTTAACAGGCGAGGAAATTGAGGTCCATAGAAAGCCCAAGGTCATGTGACAAGGCAGCCAGAACCAGAGCCAGCTGCAGGGCTCCTGCTCTTGGGACCGATGTTCTTCCATTGCCTGGTGTGGTCTTGCTGGTTTCACTAATAAGCTTTTCTTGAGTGCCTTCCCTAGGCCAGGCACTGTGCTGGGGCCGTGAAGTGGAGGTGACAGAGTCCCAGGCAGCTCTGGCAGATCATGGCCACGTGGGAACGCCAGCCCAGTGTTGCAGGTCCCTGCATTTTCTGGAAGAGTCGGGAATCTGAATTTTTGTCTGAAATCCCCTGATTCTCAAATTTTGGCAATGTACTTAAATTTAAAACAATGCAGCCGCAGTAGAACACCTCTGTTGACTGGTTCAGCCCGGGGGCTGCCCGTTTGCGATGTTTAGTTGAGAAAGAAAGACAAATGTGGGATCAAATCCATATGACATGAGTGGATACAGGACCCCGAGGGGCACCCCCTAACCCTGGATCGGTGGAGTGGAGTTGGGAAGGATATTCTGGAAGGAGAGCCTTGAAGAATGGGTAGGAATAGACGAGGCAGACACAGGAGGAAGGACATCCTGGGTGGAACAGCATGTGCAAAGGCGTGGAGCTGTGGGAGTGCATCCACCTTGGAGAATGTCAGGTGACACTCTTTGCTCAGGTGTGAATGGGAGACTGATAAGAGCTAGGTGTGACCCGAGCATCTGCTTGAAGCCAAACATACAGCAGAAAGGCAAAAGAGAGGCAAGGCCCGGCAGAGAACGTTCTTTGAAGAATTCGTTCAACAGATATTTTATTGAGTACTTACTAAGCACCATGGACAGAACCATCATCGTCGCTGTTCTCAGGGAGCATCCAGCCCAGTGGGGAGGTGGATAATCAAGCAATGATTATCTGTGACTGCTTGTGGTAAGTGTTGAGTAGCAAAGGACTTGTTGCATTAAAGAAAAATATCCTACACTGTGGTCCCTGGGCCAGAGGCATCAGCATCACGCACTGACTTGTTAGAAGTGCCCAACTGAGCACCGGGGGTGGGACCCACAATCTGTGTTTTCATGAGCCATTCTGGTGATTCCGATGCAGGCTCTTGTTTGAGAACGACTGCTCTTAAGTCATGCCAGGACCCACCTTTATTCACTTCCTCTGGTTGTTTTACTGTTTCTCGAACTCCCCAAGACCCTTTCTACCTCAGGGCCTTTGCACTTACTGTTCTCAACATGGCAGCATGACTCTTTCCCTCTTGACCTTCAGATCTTTGGTCAAATGTCACCTCCGTGGAGAAGCCCTCACAAGCTCCCCATTTAAAGAATTGCCCCCAATCTGTCAGTCTCAATCTTCTTGCCTTACTGTACTTTCTTCATGGCACTCAGTACTACCCAATATTATATTCTATATTTATTTGTTTGTTTGTGTAGTGTCTGTCTCCCTCCTCTAGAAGGTAAACTTCATGAGAGCAGGGATTGGTCTCTTGTCTTCCCAGTGTCTGGGACAGTGTCCAGCATGGTAAGATCTTCAGCAAATATTTTTGAATGAATGAATGAATCTCATAGGGTTTACCCTTCTGGTCATTCATTCATTCAACAAGCAGCAATCTGGAGCATCCATTCTTGTGCAGGTAACCGGCTTATTTCTGGAAGGAGTGCCATGGCCATTCAGATGGGGGCAGCCTGATGCCTGGGTCCTCCCCACACACCCCTGCAGCTCCACACCTGTAGATCCTACAGACCCTACAGCTCTGTAGGCTCCGTGGAGGAGGAGGGGTTAACAGCGCTCCTCCCCACAGCCAGGGTCTGGGCTGTTTGGGCTGATCAGGCAGCGAGGGCTTTGGGGGAGAAGGAGGCGGAGGGGCAGTGCTGACATGTTGTTCCCAGGGACTATTCAATCATCCTGGGGTTGACTGCTTCCCGACAGCCCTGACAGGCAGCATGCGTCGGAGCTGCGGCGCGGTGCCAGGGACAGCCACAATATTCCACGCTCAGCGCCGGAGCTGACCGTGCCCAGTGCCGGGCACAGTCCCTCCGCCATCGCTCTGGGGCGTCTCCTCTGCCGGGGCCGCTCCTCAGAGCCCCACTGCTTGTAGAGTGTATTAGCAGGATCGTTGGATCCAAAACAATCCCTCTGGATAAATAAGAGGCTTTAGGGGAAATTAGTGGGGAGAGGCCTCTTGAGAGTTATTCGGCATGAATCCTCAAGAAGAATATCCTTCATACATTAGAGCGGATTTGCTCTAATGCCTTCATGTCAGGGGGCAATGCAAAAGAGAGGGCTGCGGGATTTGTGGGAATTTTGTGTGTTTAGATTAGGGTTTCTCCACCTTGGCACTATTGACATTTCGGATTGTGTAATTCTCTGTTGTGGGGCTGACCTGTGCATTATAGGATGTTTGGCAGCATCTCTGGCCTCCACCCACTGGATGCCAGAATCATCTCTCTCATTGTGGTGATGCAAAACGCCTCCAGATATCGCCAAATGTCCCCTGGGGGCCAAAATCGTCCATGGATGAGGACCACTGATGTATGAACTCAGTAAGGAGGGAATATTGATTTTAAAGGAATCTGCAAGGATGGGGGCTCAGACTGTCTGGGTTTG